CCGCGTTGGCAGCAGGTGATTTCCCGCCGTGGCTCGTTTCCTTCCCGGGGGCCGGGCCGCACCGCGCTGCCCTGCCCTGCCCTGCCCTGCCCTGCCCTGCCCTGCCCTGCCAGGCGCTGCCGCACCGGGCCCCTCCGCCCGGCCTGAAACCTGCGCCCACACGGGCACCGAGCTGCTGTTCTGGGCACCACAGCGGCACGGGTGAGGCTTCGCTACGAGCTGTACAGACTTTTAAGTCCTTTGGCAAAATGTGGCTCTCGGCACATTCAATGTGTGGTCATCAAGGCAACGTGCCCGCAGCGTGGGCTCCTGGAAACTGTCACTGCTCCTGAACGCTCAAGGAGCACCAAGATCGTAAAAGGTATTTTTCACCTTCAGTCTGTTCCTTTCCTTCCCACCCACATGGATTTTGTGGACTTCAGCCACAGAGGTTCTTGGGTTTTTTTCTTAAGATTGAAAAACTTTGCCAAGAACAAGTGTCCTTCCATCAAGTTCAGCCAAAAACCACTAGCAGGCCACAGTCTCTGGCACAAATTACTGCAATCCCTCACTGTGTATATCAGCAAGGAAATGGTCCTGCCTAGGTTTATGAGCCCTTCCAGCAAGAAAATCACCTGCCATGCTCCCTGCATTTGTATAATGAGCAGCAAAAGTGCCTTTTTGAAGTGACCACTCAGATATGAAATGTTACAAAGCTGGTTTCTGTTTATAGTTTTTTTTCAGATAACTGAGTGAAGAAGACTAAAATAAAAGAATACTTGGGGAAAGGTAGGCTTTTCTTCCTCATATTCTTGTTTCTCTTCCAGAAATGTCTGATGGGCCAAATTACAAAATTTCTTAGCCCTTCACCCTTCAAATTTACGGAATTTTCTTCTTTTCATTGTTTATCTCGTTTATAAATAACTAAGAGGAAAATTTACAGAAAATATGAGCACTGATTTGGAAGGAGTCCTGCTCCTGAAGGAAGCATCATCAGTTCTCAGAAACTGGCTTTGAACTTCTTAGCCTTAGGCACAGAAGTGCTGGCTAATTTAAAATATCCTGGACTAGCTGTGAGAGTTGCACCATCTCCTTGGCTTTAAAGGAAACCTTACTAAAATAGGAGAGAAGCCTATATTTTTCCTAATAATTTTTTTTTTTTATTAATTTATTAATCGTGGAGTTTGTTTTCCATTTCCTCCTAAGAAAAAAAGTTCAGACTAAGTTTCCTCCCCTTGTTTATAGATGTGATTAACTATTAAACATCTACGTAGGTTCAGCTTGGATGGAGCTTTAAAGCCAGGTTGGATGGAGCTTTGAGCACCCTGGTCTAGTGGAGGCTCATAGTAACTGGCATGATCCCCAGGCAGTAGTGGAGAGAATTTGCAACTTACACAAGGAGCAAAAAACAAAACCTGGAAAAAACAAAGCCACCGTATGTGCAGTTCTTGGAGCTGCATTAATGGCAGCCCAGAAAGAGAAACGACAAAGTGAAAATAATGATAAAACTGTAAAGTCTTTGCAAGAGCAAGTCCAAGCTTCACAGAGTGGGTTGGCAGCTGAGCACTGTACAAGTCAGCAGCTTCATGCTGCGTTATCGGACTCTCTTGATCGAGAAAAAATCCTCAGATCTGAAGAGGATCGGGTGGTAGATGAGGATTCTGTAAATAGTAATTCAAATATCTTGTACTTGGCCCAAACAACTAAAAAACAAGGCCAATTGTCCAGATATCCTTTTGAGGACTTGGCCGGAAGCAGAGAAACATTTTCCTCAAACAAACCTGAGGCAGTAAATGAGGCCTTTGATTAAAGCTGAAACTATTCAAGCTCCGGCTGCCAATGGCCAGCAAGCCCCAGCTCCACAAACCACCGGTGCACAAGTATCTGTTATGCAAACAGATGTTGCTCTTAAAAGTGGCATCAAACCTGACAAAAAACAAATTTGGGTTACTCATGTTTTTGGGAATTCTAAACCGCAACAGACTGTTCGGGTTAAATGTTGGTTACCGGGGGATGAAAACCCCACAGATGTTGTTACAATACTTGGAGCCCTGCCTACCAACATTTTAGAACTGGATTTGCTCAAAGGGAAGTCATGGGTGGATTCAAAGGGTGGGGAATGGAAATTTGGGCTGCCCATACCCTGCTTGAAGCTTTTGCAAACTGCACCTTCCCTTCCCCAGTCTAAAATTGTAAATGTGAAACAATACCCCTTGCCACTGGGTGCTAAAGAGGGGATAACTTCTGTTATCACCGACCTATGTGAGCAAAGGATAGTTGTTCTCAGCCACTCACCTTCTGCAGTGCCAAATACAGCAGAATTAATTTTGACTACACAAGAACAAGCCCACAAAATTTTAGCAGCTATTGATGTTAAAGATATGTTCTTTATGGGGCCCCTACAAAAGGCTGACAGGGATCGTTTTGCTTTCACATGGGAGGGCATAAAATACACCTTCCCACGTTTGCCCCAAGGCTGTTGCCACTCCTCCACTATTGTCCACTATGCACTAGCCCAGGAGTTGGCTCAAGTAATTACTAAAGAAGGGACAAAGGTATATTAGTACATTGATGATGTCCTAATTGGTGGACCAGATGTCAGCTCGGTATGAGAAACTCAAGCTGCAATTTTTACTCATCTTGAGAGGTTAAGGTTGCAAATTCCCACAGAAAAAATTCAACTCCCCTCCTCAGAGGTGAAATGTTTAGGTATTTGGTGGTGGGAAGGTGCCCTTTGCATTCCTCCTGAAACTCTGACCCGGAAAAGAGCAAAGTGGGACTGGACACCAGTCCATGAGGAAGCTCTAAAGCTGCTAATTTGTGAAGCAGGAATATATTGGTCCTTAGGGCCTATACACTCTACTGATCCTTTTCACATTGAATGGGGACTTGCAGTTAATGGGTTGACCATACGTGTGTGGCAACGAGGACTTGAAAGTGTAACTCGTCCAATAGGTTTCATCTGCCGTAGTTTCAAAGATGCAGAAAAACGATATTCTCTGTGGGAAAAGGGCCTTCTTGTTGCCAACCTTGCCTTACAAGAAGCAGTCTCAAAAGCTACAGGAGACAATACTGTTAAAGGTTTGAAATTGTGGTTCAGCTGTCAGCCCAAACCTCAATCATTACAATCAAGGTAATGATAGCCACTTTATTGCCAGGGTGGTTCAAGAGTGGGCACAGAATGAGGGAATTCAGTGGGTTTTCCACACTCCCTATTACCCTCAAGCTAATGGTGTTGTTGAGCGTACCAATGGTCTCCTGAAACAATTTTTAGGGGCCCACGAACCAGGCTGTAACCAGCAACTATCAGATGCAATGTACAGAGTAACTAGTCACTGGGGGGTGAAGGGCTGCCCCCGTGTGACTGCTTTTTTCACTGGCCCCCCAACTCAAATACCGGGAACTAAGGTAACAGCAAGTTCAACACCTCAGCAGTGTGGCCAGCCTGTCACATAAAAACTTACATTGTGACAAATTAAAAGAAATATTTTATCTAAGATACTGACAAGAAACATCCGGAACATAGTACTAAATGTAGTGTTCTTGGAACTGGAAAAATAGGTGAGAGATCCAGTAGGACCTTTTATTCTGATGCATAGAAGTAAACAAAAAAAAATTGGGATGCAGGCTCTGAAAATACAAAATACAGCTGTGAAGAAGTGATGTGTGGGCTTCTGTGAGAAGACAAAAAATAGACAATTCAGTAACAGGTTTTCAGTTAAGCAATTGAAAGAGCTCTCTTCTTTTTAAAAATACGGTTTGTGAGAACAAATCTCTTTTAAAGTCTTGACAAATGTGGGAGGCAAAGCAGCATTATCTGTTATGAAAAGATGTATCTTACATTAAAATAAATTAAATTTTATAAACAAGAGCATGAATTTCCCATTAGGGCCTTCAGTAAAATAAAAATTCAAGTTATCCTAGCTAAGACTACTTCTCAGGATGGAAATATTATTCCACTGAGGAATTTCAAATAAACCCCCACTGCTTCTGAAGGACTCAAATACTAATTCCCACTACTCATGCTTCGAGGAATTTTCAGTCTTGTTCCTGTCAATCCCATTTTAGGCAGCCTGACAGAACTGAAGTCGAAGTCACACTTTATGTTGACATTAGCTGCCCGCCTCTCTGCCAGCCCGCACCAGCACACGGCAACCCCTGCCTCCCGCACACAGCAACCCCTGCCTCCCGCACACGGCAACCCCTGCCTCCCGCACACGGCAACC